GTAAGTCATCTGGCGACTGGTTGTAGAATTTTATGTTTATACTTCTTTTGATATAATATAAGTGTTGTTTTCTACGAGTGAGACAACCATAAACTTGTCTGTCTGTCTGTCTTTCTGTCTATACCACCCCAATCTTTGCCGAATATGTTAAGGGGTCGACCATTTGATATTTGTTGGTTGGGGGAGGGGAGGGGGGATTAATATCTACCCTCGATACAAAACTCCTGGTTGCACTTGTTGTTTGATTTTAGCTAACTGATAGTTTTAGTAATACATCCCGTCATTTGTTAAAAGAACCTTCATCTTTATTTTCTCAATATGAGGAAGGTCGGTATCATTTGGTAAACTAAGTATGTAGTAAATGAATATTAACTCAAAGTAATTATGTGTTAAGCGTTGATCTCCATTACAAAATGTGGTTGCCATAAGACGTAACACACATATATGTACATTCCCTGATTCAAATTATTCCAATTTCTGAAATGTCCAACACATGTTTCTACAGATAAACGGTGTGTGGTCATGACCATGGCGTTAACGTGATTGTTAACGTGTCAACATTTCTCTAGTTTATCAGGCGCTGTAAAATTTGTAGCTATTCAATTATTCGTTTGACGATTGTAGATTTTGTACAAAACACGTCAAACTAACATCAGGCAACAGTTATCCGATTTCTCCTATGTCGGAAGCGTCCATGTTTAAACCCTCATGGTGTGACTGAATGACGTGTAGAGTTATCGTATCTAAAATTATGGTTGTTAAATAAAAGGCATATGCACTTCTTGTGTATCATGTACCTATGCATAATTGATTATTGTATGGATTACCGACATACATTGATCAAAGGGTAAGTTCTGAATCGTAGCATAAATAAATGATTTATCTTAATTGACGTTTAATTAGCATTACTCGCTATCAGTCTCGGAAATCGATCACCATAAGTATCAAAACCTTGCATTGCAAAGTCACAGAATATTTGAAATGGGTAGACAAGGATCAATTTGGTAAAGACACATGGACAGATATGCCCGGATAGCCGAAAACAAAAAAAGAAAGAGTGATACTGAAACAAACAATCAGAAAAACTAAAGAGCACTTTACAGACGGGTGCGGATGTGATTTGGGACATTTTGAGTGAGTGAGTGAATCTAATTTCACGCCACATTTTGCATTGTTCGAAATAGGCGACACCAGAAATGGCATTCGTGCATTGTAACACTTTCGGGATTCTAACCCAGCACGACGAGCCAACCACTTGTCTCACTAACTGTCCCTGACATATTTTGATAATAAGAGCTACCGAGCAGCCTGTATATTCGTATTAGTTCGCCCTCGGGTAGTCATAAACACACATGATCTAATTGATGCGTGGAAATAGTATCATGCGTGAGTAATCCATATTTGTGACTACTATTGCACGTATTATTCAATTGCTCAAAGACAAACTTTATTCTGCATAGAATTTCTTTCTAAGACGTATATATTCTCTATTTTGTGATATTTCACGAACACACTCAAATTGTAATTCTTTAATTCAGATCCAAGAAAGTTAATCACGTTTTCGACATATGAGCATTTCGCAAATCCGAGCTATTACTTTAAGGCGGAAGGTCAGACTTTGTAAAGAGTCCTGATTTTCTATTGTGCGTGTTACCCACTCAAATGAGTCAAGTACAGTAATGGAGCACTTCCCTGGCTGTATTCGCACAGTTTCGTCACCTTACAGGGTAGTTAGTGTTATGTAGCCTAGTGCAGTTGTGGGGAAGGCTCAACATCATTTACACACCTCGCTCTTCTTTCAAAGTAGGAATAAGTAATAAATCCTTAACATTCGCTGACTCACTGAACTATCCTCACCGTCGTTAAGAGACACATTGCATTGTCTGCTTGCACGAGGTGGAAATAGCCGCAACATACCGTTTCCCTGTCGCACAATCAGTACACCAAGCATGGTTATCTCACATTTAGTCTTGAAAACACTTGAAACTTGATCATATATAACGTATCAGTGTGCTGTCACGACTGTAAATTATGCATCGAGGGACGTTATAGTGTGCATGTCAAGATTTATTTGTTTAAGTACACGTAGATATCATAAACATAAGTCAGTGTTCTTTATCATATAATGGATGGGACGTCGCCTAGACTAGGGTTATATTAGCTTCCCTTTGATAAAGGACGGTGACTCCAGCAGACAGACCGATGAATTACCGCGAAAGGTAAGACGATAAAAATGTGTAGGCAAAAGGTTACGCGGCTATATAAAAAAAAACACTTTCCGAGGCTTGCTAAATACAATGTGTACTCCTAATACAAAAGATTAACCATCCCTAAACCCAGTCGCATGGTAACCTCTATTTATCCTCATTATCGTGGTGATTTTAATGGGATAGTTGAACATATCACATATGCAGTGTGGTAGTTTATATTATCTCAAATACTGTGGAATAATAATCATTATTTAACTAATATCAAGTCTGATGTTCAACATGTCTGCAATCCGTCATCCACATTGAGTTGATAAGTTAAGTATGTGATAATGAGTTGATATTAACTTACACATGAGATACAACTGCTTTGGTGAGTGAGGTTAGTGCGTCAGCTATATCATTTAATCATGTAGTTAGTAAGTCCGAGCGTCAAGTCCTATGACGTTTCCGCGTCGATCCACGTCGACGGGGAAGCACCCCACGCTGTCAACCCACGTCACTGAGCCTGATCTATTACAATAAGTGCCTGTGAGTAAGGAGGTGTTGAAACTCCCTGTAAAGGTCCTATTACGTGATATCATCCCGTTTCAAACTGACCAGCAACGAGTTATTTCCTATAAATGCCTCTGAATAACTAACATAAAATTCTGGAATGACTTAACCAGGAAACGTTGATTGAAATACTTAGACGTTACCGAAATGTGGCTTTACATGACATTTGAATACAATGAACGAGTTCTTAAGTACCTAGCAACTGAGAAATGTAGATACCATAAGCTAGAGCTGATGGTATATTGCTGGACAATGAAGGGGAAATTCACAATGGGAAAAAACGAAATTATCCCTACAGCTTGGTACATACATGTAGGTTGACCCATGTTTGGATTTATGTGCATAGACCCACACATATAGGACACTGATTATGTTATCCAACTGAGTTTGATATGTGGGATGAAGATATTCATTTATCGTGGCAATAAAAGAAATGAGGTCGTCTGTATCAGATTCTGAAACCGAAGCATAGTTTTTTTGGCAAAATGACCCTTCTGTAAATTAATTAAAGTAGCTAAGAGGCATGCATGTTATCATCAAATGACACAAGTAACCTCAATGTAGATGGGGATGACCTGTCATTGAATACAACGATCAATAACATGTGAATATATAGAGATCAATGTAGAATACGCTTGCCTGCCCCTGACAGTCTCAGCATTGTGAAGGTCATTTTTGTGTGAATTTCATCGCAATCATAGAACAAATACTAACTATCATGGACATACAACCGAAACATTTACTGTTCCTTATGTGCTCAAAATATTCAAGATGGAATTTAATGACTAAACAGTGTGAAGTATGTAAAAGTACTTGTACAATTCAAACTTGTGAAAAGATAAGAACGTGCGGTTCATGTGCCTATGTTCCATTTCGCAAACCGAGTTCGAATTTGTCCCCAGCGTCCTATTAAGTTAAATCCCCCCAAGCAGCGACGCAAAAATTCACGACCTTCCAACGTAAATGTAACTTTGCAACCTTAAATTGAATCACTGAAAATGTCAATCTAAATTTTAAATGAAAAACTATAAGAAAATTGTGCACAAGTCTGCACAAGAGAAAGCAATGCAAAAACACATACGGCTCACATATGATATATTGTACGACCGCTTCTGTGCGCAAGTCGCGTGACTGCTCACGTATTGGTGATATGTGGTCATGTATATGTTAGATATATTAGCTTCGACAGCTGTTTGAGACTGATTGGTTTCAGAAGTTGACGTTTTGAATTTAGAAATGTTGAACATGTTGTTTAACTAGGGCCACAAGGTTTAGCTGAGGGGTTGCTTCTAATTATAATCGAAAACACCCTTTCCATATTCTTAGAAATCCATTTTACGATTCCGACTGTATCATGAGCATGTGTTTCTAAATCGCTGTGAAATAGTGATGATACCAGGTGTTCGCGAAAAGGTGAGCGTATCCTGTTCCTGGTATAAGTCAAAATAGCAAATTGCACCGGACGTCATTTTTGACAAAAATGTGACATGTTTGGAAATGTCCTCAACATGTATACTTTAAAACGTTTTGAAAGCTTTACTGAGGCCTTGGATGTTGATCAAACAACTTCCGAGCAAGAGTCGTATGGCGCTCTTTGAAATCGTGGCGGAAAGAGCGTAGTCGATTGTTCCTAAAAAGTTGGGAATGTAGACACCGAACGCTGGACCTACAGGAATCGTGCTCGAAGCACCAGAATATGCATGTGAGATACACAAAGTGAAGACACGAGACACTTAAAATGCAGATACAATATTTATGTGAACATGCCGTATTGAGACAGGTTTGAATTTCATTAATAAGGTGTATTGTTTAACATTGATTCACCATTTGGAAAACAGTCCTTTCGCTTCTGTGCTTGTAGCACATTGTAACAGTTGGTGTTGGGATTTTTATTAAATAAAAAATCTCTGCAAAAAGCAGAGTCGATTGTACGATTCCGATTAAAGTATGAGGATGTGTTTATGAATAGCCATCCCACTTTTTAGGAAATACTAGAGTACATGTAGATAAAAATAGCATTTACATTCCGCTCAGACATTACATAACAGCATTCATGCAGTCCAACTGTTAAATTAAATCCTCATGCAACGATTACATCTAAAATCTAACGTCAATACCATTTCGAAGCAAATATGTGATTTCGAAGCAAATTGGGTCAGATAAAAACAAATAATTAATACAAATAAATCCAATACACAAAATATGGTGTATATTGTAACAAAGTAAACGAACGCAGAGTTGCCGTGAACTGAACCGTTTATTTCGACGGAACAACTGACATCAGTCAGGAGCTCAACATGTCATCTAGGTAAAGAACACGAGGATTGAAGCGTGCAAGTGTCTTTGAGCTAATAAAATATGATATCTGTCGAAAAACGATAGTGTTACAATGAACATAATCTTGGAGCTTTAAAAAATATGAATGGAATTGTGACTAATGGTAATAATTTCAAGCAGCGATAAGCATTTGTTCTGTAGTCATTTGGACACTTCAATCCTTCATATACCACGCGTGTGTATTTCAAAGCTAAATTATTTTCACACAAACGATTATTATTATGATTACACACGAAGGTGTTGTTTTAATAAACATTCTCTTTGAAAGTAGAGCAGGAACTCGAAAGTGATTAATAATGTATCAAACGGAGCGAATTGTCTTCATTCTGTTGTCATAAGGGAAAGTTATCACTGCATATAGCGAGAAAGGACTATGGGAATCAGCAGAAGTTGTGCAAGAACAGTGACACGGTATCCTCCTGATTCTGCAAAGACAAGAAAAGAAGTTGCAAGTATATTTGACAATACATTGTGAATTGATCCAACAAAATAATGGGCTACAAATACTGCAGCTACTTGCTGTCATAAAACGTATTGATGCCGAAAATCCCTATGCTCGTTAGTTCACAGTAACAAATATTATCAGATGTCAATACAATCCCAACCTGATTTTCAGGGTATCAGAGTCTGAAATGAAACGTGATGTCACGTCTTTCACTGGTATGTACTTATGTTGCTTTGACCGATCATTGGCCATTTGTACTGTAGTGAGGTACACATTCCACCATTTAATAAACCGTTTCTTTCTTTTAACAGCAACGACCGAACGACAGTTATTTCTTCTTTCATTTGTTCTATCTACAGTAGTTTTGAGTCTACATTGTAGATGAAGTTTCTTTGCATTGGGAATATCAGAAATGGACATAAAAGGCATACATACGTTGTGTACAAAGGGTCCCGGTATGGATTTCATTAATAAGGTGTATTGTTAAACATTGATTCACCATTTGGAAAACAGTCCTTTATCTTCTGTGCTTGTAGCACATTGTAACAGTTGGTGTTGGGATTTTTAATAAATAAGAAATCTCTGCAAAAAGCAGAGTCGATTGTACGATTCCGATTAAAGAATGAGGATGTGTTTATGAATAGCTATCCCACTTTTTAGGAAATACTTGAGTACATGTAGAAAAAAATAGCATTTAAATTCCGCTCAGACATTACCTAACAGCATTCATGCAGTCCGACTGTTAAAATAAATCCTCATGCAACGATTACATCTAAAATCTAACGTTAATACCATTTCGAAGCAAATATGTGATTTCGAAGCAAATTGGGTCAGATAAAAACAAATAATTAATACAAATAAATCCAATACACAAAATATGGTGTATGTTGTAACAAAGTAAACGAATTATGAACTGAACCAGATTTCTTCGTATTTGGCTTTTGCAAATTTCAGTATATGAAATATGTTCAAAAACGTCGTACGGGTTGTACACATGTCGCCTGTGTATCCATCAGTGCAGGTGCAGGAATAGATCGTGCCGCTAGTGTCACAGCTACCGTGGGCGCCACATTCACTTCCAGCAGCGGTGCAGACAGGAGCTGTAAAAATGGCAACAATTTCAGTTGTCCATTACACACAATTAACCAATGAACGAACCGATAGTTCAACTACCTAATCTAGACTTGTATAGCTTCTTTAATTAGAAAATATATGAATTGAGCGAGCTTATCAATGAGTCACTTCCAGCAGTAGTCCAGCTATAAGACGGCGGTCTGTAAATAATCGAGTCTGGACCAGACAATCCAGTGATTGATATCATGAGCATCAATCCAAGTAATAATTTACGTCATTATTTAAAGTTTTCGACTACGGCTTTAACAATATATTACTGAAATATCCATTTACATGATACTTCGCATTGTACGGATATTTATATTGTAGAACATCGGGTTCACTGTTATCATTACCAGCAATAATATACAGCTCATATAGAACATCATATACACGGAACATTACACAAAATATACGATCATTGTAATTGGATTGAAGCTGTTCTTAGTTAAGTCTTCATATGTGGCTTTGGAAATTTCAGTTGATGAAATATGTTCAAAAACGTCGTACCGGTTGTACATGTGGCGCCGGTGTATCCACCAGTGCAGGTGCAGGAATAGGTAGCGCCGCTCGTGTCACAGCTACCGTGGGAGCCACATTCACTTCCACCGTCAATGCAAACAGGTGCTGGAAAAATATGGAAAGATATTTATTTTATAGTACATGTGGCTCACCGTTACAGAAACCAGCAATAATATACAGCTAACCAGATATGAATATCATATACAGTGATTATAATGTGATTAACATTTTAAAAAAATATTCGTATTTGGCTTTTGCAAGTGTTCCCCATAAAAAACACATTCGCGTTTAGTCGTTAGGCTTTGGTCAAGTTCTGTCAGAAGACTAAAAACATAACACACTCTGATATGTATGTATCTTGCTAACCAGTGTCCATTTACTAAAGTGATAGACATATATATGTAAGAATCTTCCCTTACTCATCTCGTGTAACCATCTAAGATTATATATACATGACTGTAGATGATTTATTATATTCCAGGAGAGTATTAAAACTCCAGTTAAGATATCATGTGAACTTCCAGTATGAACAGAATCCTCAAGTTTGTTCTGTCATGCGCATCAATACATTTTAATATTTATCAGGAATATACTTCTCTATCCAGTAAATGTACCTTAACGTCAGCACATGTGTGAAACGTTTTAACTTCACGCTTTGATAGGTTTATACCACATAACACCATCTTAGCTGCGAGTCAAAAAAGTGACACACATGCTGTAACTTGGGTCAACTGACTTGTATTCGGTGAATTACATGCCACATGCAGATCCAGTTTGGATTAACAGAAAACATTAAAAAAAGAAGGAACTATAACATATATAGGTTTTAGATAGACCGAGCGACTGTGGTAGACTGTGGGTTAAAAATTGTTTGTAGCAATATAAGGCCATTGCATCCACGTGTGTATCGTTCTGATATTTACAGAACTAGCTTATAAATACTAGATTGGATTCTCATTCATTGAAAATCTCCTGAACATACGTTCAGGTACTAATATATTTATCTGTCTCAATTATATATGTGAGACAGTGTGGCCGGTTCATGTAATGCGCCACAATTAACAGTTCGGAGTTGTGTCAAGGGTTTGAATCCAGGAATTGTCCTGCTTTCATCCGTGTTTCGTCAGCACTATATTGATGGTCTTTTGGACCCACCAAAATGGTAAACGTATGAGAGATGCATTACCCACAACACGCCTAACACGCCTTAGTTGGGTGAAATACTGTTCAGAATAGGGGGTACAATTTCAAAGCCCCTTGTACAAGTACTTTAGAACATTTTCATTAAACTGATCATATATTTCTGTTTAGTGATTTTAAGTTATTATCATGAATCTCAAGGTATAAATAAAAGAAATACAATGTAGGATTACAATTGGAACATACATACCCTGCAATAAATGAAAGCTTTTCATCATAAATGGGAATATGACATGATGGTTCATACTGTAACATATTTTGTGTGCAAATGTGTAATCTGTTACGTTGTTACCTGTTGTGCAGTCATCCCCTGAGTATCCGTCTGTACACACACATGGTGCGGAAGTGTCAGGACAGGTACCGTGGGTGCCACAACCGGTGTCGTCAACACAGTTGGCAGCTTTGACATCCCTGATCACACAAAGGATCATCAGGGCTGAAAGTACAAAATATTGCGCCATCATATTACACTTGTATTTTCAGTAATGATACTATAACAAAACTATTAACACCACATATATCAAGTTCCGTGTTTTGATTCATCTCACAATAGATTTGGTAGATGCTACATTCTAAAGACATACTATCTGAAATAAGATGAGAATTTAGGTAAACTGTTCGAATAGTTATATGAGCCGCTTGTACTGTGAACTATTCCCTCGAATTGATAAACTCGTTTGATTAATCTCCATAGCGTACATCTGTGACCGGGAAATATTTATGGAAATATTGACAAATAAACATAGGAAGAGGGGGTCAGGTGACATTGAATGAAATATGGTAAATGTGTCATTATTCTGCGTGTACTGTTTACCAATACAATGAACTTCAAGAAAAGTGTTTAAGCAAAGTAGGCATTAATTCATGTAATGTCTGTCTCGCCGAAAGAGGGAAATTTTATACCGAATGTATTATTTGATTATTATTATGCCCAAGTCCAAACAAGCCTGTTATGTGGATCAGAAGTATGGGGATTTCATCGAAACGATTGTCTCGAAAAGCTTTGTTTGCTTGTTGTTTAACGCCGCATTTAGCAATATAACAGCTATATGACGGCGGTCTGTAAAATAATCGAGTCTAGACAAGACAATCCAGTGATTGACGTCATGAGCAGCGATCCACGCAATTGGGATTGATGACATGTATCAACCAAGTCAGCGAGCCTGACCACCCGATCGAGTAAGTCGCCTTTTACGACAAGCATAGAATTGGTTGCTGAAGACCTATTCTATCCCGGATATTCACGGGTCTCCTCTTTTTGCTTGTAAAACACTCTTACACCCATCCACACCCAATTGAATGGTCCATGGAGGGTGTGGCAGATACCCGTTAAAGAGGCCCTAAATGCATTAAATATCTTTGACTTTGAGTGTACATGTAGTTCTCTGCAGTTCGATGTTTGGGTAAAAGTTCGTCAGCTTCCACATACAGCCTGTCAAGGGGAGAGGTCCTAAAGGCTCCACGACAGTGACTTCGGCCTTGATGGCGTATTGAGTGTTATATTTGCTTTTGCAGACTCCAAAATCGATATTGGAAACATACTCCAGCTTATAGCGTATTAATGACTATTGGGAGTTGACCGAGCCAAATCCCACATGACGGGCCCATTTTTGAAGTTGTCAACACCTAGTTCGTACCTCTCTTTCTATCGCATGCATATACCGCAATAAGAAATTTAGAATCGTCCATGAAATGGGACCATCAAAACAAGTGTTCCAAACTTTAGTGAGACTATAAACTGTGATGTATAAAAATGGGACAGATAGCATGCTGCCCTGACGGATGCCCTGGCGGATTTAAATTCTCGATTGAAATGATCAGACAGTGTAGAGCCCACCCCTACTTGAAAGTGTCTGTTAGTTCAAGACATAAAGTAAGATAATCTGGCCATCAATCCAACCTCATCTTAATGTTTTGAAAGACCGTGTTCCCACGTTATAATGTATACGTTCTCTCAGTCGAAAACAAAATGACAAAGCATGTAGTCTGCTGGCAATGGATTTCTAAAATGATCTCAAGCGCACCAAAGGGTCAATGGTACTATAAGCCATTCACAGACTTAGTTCTTATGTCTTTTTCTTGTTACTAAAGAGGTAACCAGTACCAGACTAACCGAGTGGTGACCATGCGTTCCATGGTTTTACGACCACATCTAGTCATAGATAGACGGCGGTAATTGGACGGATCAGTATGCTTTTGTACAGGAATGATAATAGCATGATGCATCAAAGGAGAAACAATTCTAGTTGTCCTTATTTCAAATATATATATCAAATATATTAAGTAGCGTTTCCAAACAAGAATCGTACAAGTGTACCCGGAGCTGAGAGTGAATCTTTCTCGTTTTTTCCACCTTTCTCTAGCTTATTTATGTCAAACCAATATTTGAGGGCTTGCACAGGACTCGAATGATTTCGTATACATGTAATTGACCCGAAAATAGTAGTATGGGTTCAGGAACATTGCTGAGAGTGACAGAGTTTAGTTTTTCAGTACATAATGTACAGTTTGTAATAAAGGCCAAGATTGTACCTTGATGAAGGTGGTTCATCAGCAAGATTGATATCCAGAAGTATTGATACCAGCCATTCACAATTTAAACGCGTTCCAAAGATTTTGATTTATGAGAAAAAGATAAAGGACATAGTATGTTCCAGTGGAAGGATGCATAAAAGTATTATACGCATCATAGAAAATGCAAAAATACCTGTGTTTAAAGGTAAAATTTTCGATAACTTTTCCCTTATTATTGGTATCAGTACACCCCCATAGAGGATAATGGCCATTGCAATCGTCCATGATTATAATCGAGTCTGGACCAGACAATCCTGTGATTGACATGAGCAACGATCCACGCAAATGGGATCCGATGATATGCATCAACCAAATCAGCGATGTTCATGATGTCAATCACTGGATTGTGTGGTATAGACTCGATTTTTTACAGACCGCCGTCATACAGCTGGAATATTGCTGAGTACGGCGTTAAACAACAAACAATCAACCAAACATTGAGGAAATATTCAACAGGTTTTGAGTTCCGGTCCGGAAACGAGCACTACCCCCCTTTGTAGTTTCAGTCTAATCGTCGTGAAAACAACTAAAATTATAAAAAAATCATCAAAAGGCACTCGCTCACCACTACAACTACAATGTGTCTGTTCATCTTTCCGAAATTTAAATCACAATTTGTGACATGCTTTGAAGGTATATTATGCTATTTCTAGAATAGTTGACGTACATTGTTTTAAGAACCCACTGGGCACGTAGTGATGGCAGTAGATAAAACAACCGACTTTCCAACACACTAACAGACTATTTGTAGTAAATAATGTACATTTACCTGAAATATATAACGTCTCCAAACATCTATGAATCAGACTTAATTTCTAGTATTCATGATAGTCATAAAATATACTTCGATATCACGCCTCACAACGACTCAGGTATGAATAAAACAACTGATGAATATTTTTGTTTAACATTGGAACATCGAGTGTACAAAATCGAACACAGTTCGTCATTAAACTGCCTAAAATTGCTGGGAACACTAGAATTTGTCTGATTACTGTCACTTATATTATTCATAACTCCAAATGGATAACATGTTAAGTAACTGACGTAAATGTTAGATACCAAAGCAAATAAACAACTTACCCAGAAGAAGCACCATCATGCCAAATTTAAACATAACTGGTAATGTTTGCCTGAGAACTGTTTCTTCGTCTGGACGGGGAGACACTGCGAATGAGATCAGTGCGTCCCCCTATTTGTAACGCCCGTCTCCATAGCACCGAAATGTTGTGTCACATGGCCTGAACATAACAGTAACATGATCTCGACAATTTCAGTATTAAGCATTTGGACATGGGATGGCATTTTACTTAGCTCTAACCTTAAAATATTTACTGATATCAATTGATAGGGGAATAAGTTTGTGTTAATGCCGCGTTGGATCGTAAATCTAAATTCAACGACATTAATCATGAAGCGACATGTTCAATAGTGTTTACGAATCATGAATATGAAGAAACAATTGTTTGTTCAGGTCACATGCATGCGTCGATCAGATGACGGCATACCACCGTGGAGAACATGCAATACAACCAAGGGCAACAGTGTCAACTACGAGGGAGACAGATCATAGGGAGATATAAGACTAAGACACTCACTTTGTCCACTGATAATAGTACCAGCAATGATTCCCAGCGGATCAGTATCTCCATTAGTCTTTTGAATCATAACACCAAGTCATAGACGAGTGCACATGTGTCTGTCACACCCAGATATGTTACTCGTGACAGGCAGGACTTGGCATGACGCAACTTGCTGGTACATCTACAAAGAAGCCAACAACTCCGCGCAATCGGGTGCACCTGCTCTGCTTTGTTTGATGTCTGGTGAATGATTGCAATACTGTCGTGATGTTAGTGATCTTACATATCTAGTGATCTTGCAAAGATATAGCACGTTGTACTCTCCTACGTTTCCAATGAAATAATGTAGTTAAATGTGTTATAAAGTGTGAGAGAATAATCAAATTTGCATCGCTAATAATATATTCTTCCATACCAATGAAACTCCCAATATACTCTACAGGCATCCGAATTGTGTACTTTACCCTATGATATTAATCTATCACACTTTGACCGTATACTGTTTTAAAGAGTATATAGATGATTTTCACTTTCATTTGAGGATTTGTAAAATTCTCTATACCTCGATTATGCCAAACATAAATTATCACGTTCGACATTTGAAATCTTTTGTTTCGCTTGACGTTAGGAGGTTGATGTAGATGTAAATGCTATGTCGATAGCAGTGGGCGATATGCGCTGTTGGTGTACATCATATTACAGGTCGATATATTTCACGATTGCACCTCTCATTAACCACCTATTCAACTTAAGACGCAAACAGTGAGGGTATCTACTTTAATAAAAGGGTGTCAGTTACTGGTCACTAAGTGTGATGCTAAAACAGAATCAATTAAAATGCCAAATACCACGCAAATACAACGACGTTGGTCAAATAAATACCAACACAGTCGCAGATCAGGAAGGTGTTGTCACCCTAAGACGTCGACCTTGGGCGATTTTCAGGGAACCAAAGGAATGTTGTTTGTTTGTTTAACGCCGCACTCGGCAATATTTCAGCTATGTGGCTGCTGTCTGTAAATAATCGGTTCTGGACCAGACAATCCAAGTACTGATATCATGATCATCGATCTACGCAATTCGGATTCGATGACATGCATCTATCAAGTCACCGAGTCTGACCACCCAATCCGGTTAGTCGCCTCTTGTGCTGTTACTGTGTAAAATGACACCATTTGGGAGATGTGTGGCCCGAAGTCATCCGTCATGTTAGCTGACGATCTATGCCCTCTACCCCCCCTTGTTGGTCTAGAAACTCCAGATGCTGTAACGTTACGACAAGTATTCCAACAGAATGACATTGACCAATTTGGGATTCACCGCACATAACACCTGACTATCTACAATGATGAATAGTGTGTTAACCTAAGTTCAACATTACAGAACAATTTCAAGGTCATCCAACTTGGCAATAAATCTTTGATGAAATCACTGCATCAAAATTTGAGACATTTTCCTTCCGAATACATTTTCATTGCGAGAACAAAATCTTCATGTAACATGGATGCCTCCTGGCCAACTGATTGTTCACGCGACAAATGAAATCCTTTGTTGAAACAAAGATATGAGCGTTGTTAATTGTTTTTACATACATTTTAGGTTTGTTTGAATATTTTGTATTCAAGGTACATGGTACCAGCCACAAAGTACTTAACTTTCAAATGATCTACTGAAGCAACATCAACGTTGTCATTAACAGCAGCAATAGGTATACATAAGTTAAACAATGAATATTACACCAAGTGGAAACTATAAGAACAATGAAATATGACCTTTCTCACAAATGCTACCAGCAAGAATAATACTGGTAAAAAAAACAGAGAAAAAATATACTAGTAGTTAAATTAATTCATTCCTTTACTTGGCTGAAATAACTTTTATGTCGTTTATACTCAACAATTAATTTGGTGCAGTAGTATTTACAATTATGTTTATTCCCTCAAGTATAGGTTAATATCAAGCTATATTTAAAACGGAAAATGAATGCGATAACCTTGCATGTACACGTGGTAAGCTTGGCACAAGGCTTCCTGTGATGGTTTCAAAGAACGTGATACGACCCTTGTTCAAAGATTGTTTCATCAGGGCTAGAGCATGCACTGCATTACAAATGGTCATATACGGTGTCAGCTGCATGCTGTTACGCATGATGGTACTCTATTATTACGTTTAACTGATCGAATCCCATTGTTACGGCAGAGGCTAAGGCTATACCTTTAGCCTTGGAACTTATTGAACTTTCGAAAGAGACCAGTTTTATCATTTTTTCTGGTAGTTAATCCTGCTTACAGGCAATCAACAACCGTAAAACAGATCATTTGAATTTGCCCGTGGCTAACAATGACATAATCTTTTCCTGGCTTCCCACTCATGTAGGCATCAAAGGAAAGTCTGGAGCAGATTCTGCAGCTAAAGCTGCTCTTTGGAAATCTGTATCAAGGTACATTTCGATATTTTGATCTAAAACCTGTAATTTGCCAATATGTCAGAAATATGTGGCAACAATTGTGGAATAAGCAACTATCAAATAAGCTTCATGCCATACAACCCTTGATTGGATATCATGCCCTTACTGGAGTAAGTCGTCAGGACGAAGTTGTAATCCGAAGGTGTCGCACTGAACACAATCATTTTAATCATTCTTTTTCAATTGAAGAGAGAGGATTCCTCTCAATTGTTTCCTTGTCATAAGTCCTTTGACTATCCAACAACTTTTGTTGGAATGTGCGGATTGTGCACTAATTCGTCAACTTTTCTATACTGTTCAAATTATTTCTAAACTTTTCAATACCGAAGAAACTTAATTTTAGCATATGTGAAGGAAATTAAACTGTATAAGATGTAGATTATATATTTTGAAAGTCAGTTTTTACCGTTTACTGTGGTAATGGATAATGGATAATGGATCTTCATTATCATTTTTATATAATGTTTTTATATAAAGGCAACTCGTTGTTTTCTAGCCGCGAATAGATTATTACTGACCAGGGCTCAAAGCAACATTTACTCACTTACTGACTTATCGCTGTTTTGAATAACATTTCATTTAAATCATGGCACGTCACCTTAATATGATAAATACGTCTGAAGCAAGGCAGATCGTTGACGACCGGGAATCATTGCTGTGTTGTAACCAAAGAGCACGGGTATGGTGTTGACAAATCACAATAAGGGCAAATCTGGAATTCAAATGGACGATCTTAAGATTCTGACGCACACTTCTGCACAGCGAATTGCATAGAATAAGAACAACAAATCACAGACTACCAGCTGTCCCAAATTGGAGATGGAAAGTAGGTCTTAAATATGGCAGAATTTGTATATTATGGAAAAGGCAATACGCTACATTATCGTTTTCAATGTCACTCATTAATGGCAAAAGGAAAAAAAGTCATCTGCAGCATTCTTCATGCGCCAATCAGCAAATTGGAAAACGAATGATCGTCTTCCACATATAAAATATATACATGCGTTATACTGAACCTATTATGTTGTAAGTAGTTTCGTTGCACATTTTATCAGTGTGTATACAGCAATGAGTACTGAGAAAAAATCTTTTTTGTAAATCTTTTTATTTTGAACATCTGTATTCACGTGCACTGTAGCAATCGCTTTAGCAGTATTGATCTGACTGACGTGTGTTGGCGATAGCTATACATAAAACGATTATCTTAATAATTATGATGACGATGATCGTGATAGTGATGACACTATCCTATAACGTTAACATGGCGTACATTATTCATGTAAACGCAATACAGCCAGTAACACAGAGTTCTCAACAGATTCATGTCAATAATTTATTCATCATAACTGTAACATACTCCTCAAACCTCGAATTTTCAGGTTTTTTCTCGTTCCTTGGATTATTTTCTCGTTCCTACGATTACTCCGCATTACTCCAATGATTATCTCGAAATTTCGACTTTTTGAAAGAAACTTGAAATAACAAGAAAAACACTCATCCCTCTCTCCGGGGATGATGGGATAACTACTATATCTAAAGGACTAACTGAGTTCACTGTCCTTCTCTTAAAGCTCTCAATGCTGCAGGCGAACTCATTCAACAGGCCTATTGCCGAAGCAATATGAAACTCGCAACAACTGTTTAACTGGGTCAACTATGTTTTGATTTGCGTTTATTCTATATGTAACAGACGCAATATTTAAACATTTACTGTTATTGCTTTGTAACAAAATATTATCAGCAGACTACTCCTGTCAGTGACATCACATCCGTTGACGTTTGCACTTACGAAAATATTGCTGTCAGATTTCACGATCTTGACTTTCGTTTATATTCTCGTCATATTAAACGGAAAATGACAAATGAAACATTCTTCGATGGAGAAGATCGTCAGTTTCGCCAAGGCATATATATATGACAACTTCCCGAGCCAAGAGAATTCCTTCATATTTAGTTCAATATTTTATTTAATGTTTATCAAAATATCTGTAGCACAGTAGTTATAAGTTTTATGTAATCATTTTGTACCTTTTAACAAAGGAAATATGAAAAGTCAAATCAAAATCATTATCATGTATCATGTATCCCGTCGTGTCTCGATGCTTTTGTACTTTTGTACGCTGAGCAGAGCTGTAACATAGGCTTTGACATGTCCAATACGATGATGGACGGTCACGACACTACTTGTTTTGCGCACAGATAAGAACACGTATGAAATCTAGCTCCCGCAACGAATCTCCTAAAGTGAGA